TGCCACATACATTTATTAAGTTGTCTGAAAAGCAAAAAGGCAAATCAACTTGTAGTAAGTTTTTAAAAATTAAAACAAAAAATTTCTTTAATAAAGCTATTGATGGCTGGGTGCAGTGGCTCACGCCTATAATCCCAGCACTTTGGGAGGATGAGGTGGGCGGGACACCTGAGGTCAGGAGTTTGAAACCAGCCTGGCCAACATGATGAAATCCCTATCTCTACTAAAAATGCAAAAATTAGCCAGGCATTGTGGTGCACACCTGTAATCCAAGCTACTTGGGAGGCTGAGGCAGGAGAATTACTTGAACCCAGGAGGCAGAGGTTGCAATGAGCAAGATCATGCCACTGCACTCCAGACTGGGCAACACAGGGACCTGAAAAAAAAGCTATTGGTTATACCAGATAGTGAAACAAGATAATAAATGACAAATTTCTGGCTATATAGTACATTTTTCAAAGGCTTGAGAGAAAGTCAACATTATTTAATGGAACGATTCAAGTAGTAACAATCTTTAGCAATCCTGTATGATAACTTATAACTGATATTTCCAGATCACTAGCAAAAGAACGTTTCTTTAATCTATGACATTCCTACAATAGGTAGAATCTGCTTCCAAATAAAATGTGCTGCAGCCTTGTTCATGATGAGATTATAGCTGATTAGATGTGAGAATGCCTACATTGTATGCAATTTTTAAAATTACTAAAGAAAACTCGTGGTTCTAGAATCTCTATGGACAAGAGACTCCACAACTAGAAACTTTAAGTGAAGTCGAATTCTTAAGAGTTAAGACCGGGTCTTCCTAGGTTATTATGAACGTTCCTTTTCAGGCAAATATGAAAACATGGGGCCATGCTCTGAGTGGATTAAGGTGACAGCGTGGCACCCGTCAAAGAACATTGCCTATTTTAAGACAATGTCACTGCTTAATTCAGTAACCTGGAGGATTTGCCTCCTTGTCTCAGAGACATTACAGGCATCAATTCAATTAGTCCTCACATCTTCAGAACATTTCATGTTAGCCTTTTAAATCTGATGTACCACAGGTAATAAGCCCCAATTGCTAACATAAACTATCCAGTATTTTTCTGCTCATTATTGATGGTTCACGGTTACTTTCTCCTTCTCCTGTTGCAAGTATGTGTCACCCAGCAGCTCTGAAACCCTTAGACAAGGAAGGGGAATCACATGACTGAATTTCTATAATTAAAGTATCCTGGCTTCAGAGAGAACTTTGATGCTCTAGTACCAAATTCAGATCTTTACATGCTTCTGCACAATTGTCCTGACAGATGATTCAACAGATAATTTTAAAAACAGTAGAAACTCATGTCGATCAACATGCAGTGTGGACATCACATCTCCACAGATGAAACTTCATCAGTCAAAGAGGACCAGCCACAGTGGTGAAAATCTGGACAGCCATGGCAGTCTCTCTTGCAGCTCTGGCTGAATGAGGACCAAGAAAGGCAGACTGAGAAGGAAATGTTCCCACTGTACTTAGGAAAAGAATGAGTGCTCTTTAGCCCAGAACGAGTTTTAAACTTATTCTATTGATCAAGGGCAACCCATCTCAATAGAGATATTTTTGAAATTTTGTTATCTTAAGATTTGTCGGGGCCAGGCGCGATGGCTCACACCTGTAATCCCAGCACTTTGGGAGGCTGAGGCGGGTGGATCACGAGGTCAAGAGATCGAGACCATCCTGGTCAACATGGTGAAACTCCGTCTCTACTAAAAATACAAAAAATTAGCTGGGCATGGTGGCACGTGCCTGTAATCCCAGCTACTCAGGAGGCTGAGGCAGGAGAATTGCCTGAACCCAGGAGGCGGAGGTTGCGGTGAGCCGAGATCGCACCATTGCACTCCAGCCTGGGTAACAAGAGTGAAACTCCGTCTCAAAAAAAAAAAAAAAAAAAAAAGATTTGTCACCACCAAGTATGTCCTTGTATAAGTTTGTAGGGCTAAGGTGTTTGTATCAAGTCACTATATCTTTGATTGAGAGATTCTACCGTGAGGTAATTGTCTTAGATCTGCGTATAAGGCGTCAAACCTCTTGTCACACAGGTGTACTGTTTAGCAAATGGTGTCAGGCTGCTCATCTGTCTATCCTACTGCTGCTTGCCTTCTTTCGCCCCTGTCTGTCTATATGCACAGAGCCTTTTTGCATAGGCTGCTCTCCTGGGTGTAAGTCTGCTGCAGGGATCATACAGGAGTCAAAAGTTAAGTCTGTACAGTCCGTATATGCATTGCTTTGGTACCATTGGTGCCTGTAATTTTGAGAGTCAGAGCATTATTAATTTTGTCTATTATATAAAGAAGGAATAAGGATTGGAAGGCAATTAGGGTTAGAATAAAAGAAAGTAAAGTAGTTCACACTGTTTCTACCTCCTGGGTGTCTATAGCACCTGTGTAGATTATTGGTGTTAGCCCCTCAGTTCTGAAAGTCAGGCCACCAAGGATGGACTCACCCCAGTAAACACTTATTGGAGAAACAACCAATCAACAACAGCATCTCACACAGAGGATATCATCTACCCACAACTCAACAATCCACCAATCCCTAAGGCCCCATACCTCCCAAAAGCGCTGTTTCAGGTCTTCCCACATTCTGCTCTGCTCAGGGAAATCGTACCTGGACAGCACAGCCCCAGCTCCCTCTGGCAAGCAAGGCATTTTTCTTTGTCATTTTATTTCAGATCTCTAGCAGTGGCTTCCTCATCCTTTGACAAGGGCAAGGCTTACCTATCCTGTGGTTGCCAGATCCCAGCTCAATGTCTGAGCTGGATTAGGGTTTCACGGCATGTATTTAAATAAAACTCATCAGAGAAAGAAATGAGAGAGAAGTGTTGTGGTTTCCCTAGGTAACACCTAGCTGGTGGTAGAACCGCATTTAGAAACTCTGACGCCCACTCCCACTACACAGAGCAATCAGGTGGCCTGGTTTGTAATTAACCCTCCAACATAACATAAGGACAGAGGCAGCCCCACATTATATTTAGAGAATTGGATTATTTAGAGGACTTGCCAAGCCAAGGGACCCATTTTCAAAACTAATCTGGCAGGGGGGTTGAGGGAGAGAGGAGACAAGAGGGGTGTGTGTGTGTGTGTGTGTGTGTGTGTGTGTGTGTGTATAAAAAGCACAAAGATGCTATAATGCTTTGCTTCTGCTGTCACTGAAGCAGAGAAATGAGAGTCCCCTCATCCTTTTACAACAGGCCTTGGGATAGAATTGTAATTAACTTTCTCCTTCTAAAGCTGTGTTTGGGGTTGACTGTAAATCATATTTGCCTGGATAAACATCAGGGAAGAGGAGAATTTATAAAAGGAGGGCCCTTGGGGGTGACCAGTCTTCTTATTCCTAGCTTGGAATTTGAGTGGACGCTCACATGCATGGAACATAGCTTCAGGTAGTTTGATGGGAACTTCAGTGTTCTTACCCAACAGCACTCTTTGTTCTGCTTAGAAATCGAATAGATCAGAGTTTCCCAAAGTCAGTACAATTGACGTTTTGGTCTGAATCATTCTCTGTTGAGGGGCTGTCCCATGCATTGTACAATATTTAGCAGCATTCCTGACCTCTCTATACTACATGCCATTAGCACCCTAATCTCAAGTCTCGATCATCCAAACTGTCTCCAGATAGCCCAAATGTTTCCTTGGGGGCAATATCACCCTTCGCTGAGAAGTGCTGATATAGATAAAAGGGCAGGTAGCCTCTGACCCCTTGTTTTCTTCTTTCCTCTAGGATGATGCTGTCTCCCCCTTTTCCCTAGCTACACCTGTGGTCCCTCTAAGCTTGACTGACTGGGGATGGTTAGAATTAGCTACTGACTCTAAGAGAAAGCACTTGCAGAGCCCAGGTGGGTGCCCATCTCCCTCCCTAGACCAAAGTCTTCATGGGCAAAGACAACATCTCTATCATTCTCTTACCTCTTGCACCAAGCCTATAGTATGCACTCCATATGCTGAATTAGATTACATTCTTGTTCCAGAGCCAACGACAGAAAATGGGGACTGCGTAGACTTCTGGTCTAACCTAAATGTGTACATTAGATTCAAGGAATCATCCTTGGTAATGAGGGGGGCGTGGTCTTCAGAATTGTGAGTCATAGGGTCAGATTATTAAGAGTTAACAAAAAGCAGGAGTGGGAGAAGAAGAAAAGCTCCCTTGCTGTTGCTGTAGTGATTGTCATGCAATAAATGCCTCTTGTAGAGAACTGGGGAATTCTCTTTCCTAAATTTTTAATTTCCTCTGCAGCTTTACTCACTTTCAGGAAGGCAGACAAGTGGTCCTCAGTCACACCTACAACCTAATAGGGCTGTGGGGGATAGATCCAGAAAGTAACACCCCAAGGCAGTGGAAGCAGATAACAAATGCAGGCTCTGGGATTAATGCAGACATCATCTTCTGTCTTACGTCAGGATGGGAGGATGCCACAGAAGGACAGTATCCTAGGTGATACCATATTTTTAATAAATCAGTTGCTGTAATTTGGAAAGCAAAATAATAGACTAGGATGAAACACTAACCTGCATTGCCTGACACATGACAGTCTTCTTATCAAATCATGCTCCCACCCCTGGAGCCCCTCCTCCTGGAACACCCTCATTCTAAGTGCAAGAAGCTGTTAATTTTTCTAGTGTACTGAATCAGTGTACACCAGATATTAGCTTATCCAGATGTTCTAAAGGGTGTTATAGATCCATAGAATTTGGGGGCCTAAGGGCACCCTGCAGAATGACGTCATTGGAATTCCTCATGTTCTGTATATTTAACAAATAACCCATGAGAGAAGGAATTAGCTCTGTGAGAGGGAACACATCAGAGCAAAGTACACCTCTGATGCCTTCTTCCACTCTCCCAGTGTACTCCCCCTACTCCCAAACCCAAACAGTTCCACTTTCTACAAGTGTGGGGGGTGGGGCAGGTGGCCTGGAAATACAGCCTGTCCAAATGCAAGTCGAGTATTTTTAAGGATTGCTGCAATACCCACCTCCACAGCTTCGGTTACGGGCAAGACGCTATTGGTTTTCCTGGAGCCCACGCGGAACTTGGCAGCCTTGTAGATCTTCCAGTACACGAAGAGCACCACGCAGAGCGGCAGGTAGAAGGCGCCCACGGTGGAGAACACGGCGTAGGAAGGCTCACGACTGACCTGGCACTCCTCGCTGCCCTCAGAGTAAGTCTCTCCCCAGCCAAAAAGCAGCGGAGCCAGAGAGATGACAGCGGACAGCGCCCAGGTGAGCGCGATCATGACGTTGGAGACGCACTTGCGGGTACGGAGCGTGTATTCCAGGTGGCGCGTGATGGACCAGTAGCGGTCCAGGGCGATGGCCGTCACGTTCCAGATGCTGGCCGTGCAGCAGAGCACGTCGCACGCGATCCACAGCTGGCACAGCCGCCGGCCCAGCTGCCAGCGGCGCCCGGACAGCTCGTGCACCAGGCTCAGCGGCATGACCAGCGCGGCCACCAGGACGTCCGAGATGGCCATGGACGCCACCAGGTTGTGGGGCACGCGGTGGAAGGTGCGCACACGGAGAATGGTCGCCAGCACCAGCAGGTTCCAGGCGAACGTCGCTGCCACCAGAAAGCCCAGCAAGGTGAGAACGAGCACTCCGAAGACTGAGTGCAGGGGCGGGCTGGGGCGCAGGTCATCTTTGCCTAGGCTGCGGTTGGTCTCCAAAGGGGAGGGGGTGGAGAGGGAAAAGGAGGTTAGGTTCACAGGTAAATCCATCTCTGGGTCAGGAGACCGGCCTGGGGTGCTTGCAGAAAGGGTGTTCAGGAGGACTTAAGGTGGCCACTGCGCCCAGAGCCAACCTGGATGTTTGCAACCTCTGGCCAGTGGTGGGGTTTCTGGAAAGTGTCTGTGAATTTGGCCCCAATCTCCTGCTAGTGAGCATCCGTGGGAGACGGCATGGCTGCAAGTGCTGCAGGTCTGAAGCCCTGAGAGGCTAAGGAAGCAGAGGCAAGGGGCTGCGTCTCCAGCCAGGGCCCGCCTAAGCGGTTAGGAGCCCCGGGCTCCTTGCCTTGGCGGAAAAGGCTGTCTGGCGGCCCAGAACCGAGCATCTCCCCGATGGGGGAGAAGCAGGGCGGCCCGCAGCGTGTGGATGCTGGAGAGGGGCTGGTGCGTCAGAGCGGTCGCTCTCACCGCTTTGTCTCCCTGCCCACCCTTCTCTCTAGGCAGCCGGCTGCAGCTTTAACTCCGTGCTAGGGAAGCCAATTTGGGGGAGACCTGCTTTCTGGGACCTGCCTTCTGTCCCGGTTGTCCCCGCCACCCTGTCTGAGGCTGCGTCTCTGCAGAGCGAATGATGTCGCGCCCACCGAGACCTGCCTTATCCAAGTTGAGATCTAGCCCTACGTAAGCCATCAGCTGATAAGGCCTCCTCTCCCCTCCTCCTGGCTCGGAGCGCGCGGCTTTGGGGCTGTCCGCGGTGCTGCTGCGCTCCTGCGCTCCCCTCGCCGGGCGGCTCCCCCCACACGCCCCCTCGTGCGGTGCTGTCCGCGGTGCTGCCGCCTCACCCTGCCCGGATGCAGGAGGGTTGGCGCTGTCCACGGTGCTGTCGCTCTTGCCTGAAATGGGTTCCCACGTGGAACAAGTTGACCAATGAACTTTCCTCGAAACGTTCCCCTAGCCACCCACACGCATCCCTCTAGGGATGGTCTGGAGACTTTGAACACTGCTTTCTCAGCTTGCCATAAGTATCTGCTGTTCCTATAAGAGCTCCGAGTTAGGGGTCTAAGATCGTTTCACTAACTTGTTCTCCAGAAGATTTCAACACATGATTGCTTTCCTCTTACCCAGTTCTCAGTTGCTTCCCTTAAGGGTTGTTTTCCTTGAAGGAGAAGAGGCTCTAAGATAGCAGGTGCTGCTGTCCCTAGATATGGCTGAGGTGTTGGAGCTAGAATGCTTCACCTGGCTCCAACAGGAATGACTGAAGAATGCTTTACCTCCTCAGAGTCATAAGGCAGCCGTGTAGTCCCCAGTGGTTCCTACTAAATTTGCTTCCTGAGAAGGAAAAATTGGGATACGCGTTATTATAAGAGCTCCATCTCACACAAAAGAAAGTGGGACTGTAACTCTCCCCTCACACATAAACACAAATCCCACCAACACATCTACATACATTGAGAAAATATCAAAAGCTTCTAACAAGAATTTAAGATTTGAAGCACCTTATAAAGAGGCACATGATATAGCAATATAAAAGAAGCTAAAATTTTACAGCAAACCACCATGGTACGTGTATACCTATGTAACAAACCTGCATGTTCTTCACATGTACCCCAGCACTTAAAGTATAATAATAAAAAATAAATTAAAAGAAAATTTTTAAATGGCGTGACAGAAATGACATTAACGAAAGTAAGGCGGTAATAAACTTTGTTTTTAAGTATATGAAATGAGTGTCATGAAAGTAAAATGGGTGCATTTACAAGTAAATTTGATCAGAAACATTTTAGTTATTTAAAGGTTAGCGACATGTTTCGGTATAAGATTTTGTTTCTTGCAGAGTAAAACGAGTATCTGGAGAATGCACTGAGAAAAGAGAAACTCCTCCACTGGAACCCAGAGGAGAGGATAAAATCATTAAATACAGGATTATTACAGGGCTGTTTCAGACACCACTTAAAAACAGCTGATGGTGACTCCAGTTGCATGCAGCAACTGTGCATGGCCCCAATCAAGAAGCAAGCTTGTGCTTATTTAGGGCACATCACCTTCTTGAGGTCATGGAACTAATTGGAATGAGATGTAAACCATGAATCGTATTCTTTGAAAGAAGTTCTGCATCTAGACCTGGAGGAATGGATGAGCTGTGTTCCCCACAGGCAGGCTGCGATGGACCTCGTCATATAAATCTTGAAAGGCATTGTTGGCTTGCAATTATATTCCCTACTGATTCCCCAGGCCACAGCTGTCTATACTGAGAGTCAAGTGATCAACAGAACAGTCTAATAGAGACAAAGCCAAGGACAACTGAGGATAATTTGTTAAAATTAGAGTGTCATAAAGTAAGGGGCCGAATAGAATATTCCCACAAAGGAGAGAGCCAATGGAGCATTTCCAGAAGGGACAAACCCTGTTCAGAAAGTCTGGTTTATCTCAAAAATACACAAATGAAAAATCACAATATTCCAGTTTTATCTCAAAGCATAGCCCCAATTTTATCTTGAAAAGTTAAAATTTTATCACTGAAAAGAAAAAGAAATCTGAAAAGGTATAAAACTCCCACCTGCCATATGGTACCTCTGAAATGGCAGCAATGGGAAATATAATTTCCTGGGTTGTCACCTGTTGGGTTAAATTGTTTCTCTTCTTCCTCCCTTACACCTGCCAGATTTATAAATGAAGGTCCTAACCCCTAGAACCTCATAGTGTGACTATATTTGGAAATAAGGTCTTTAAAGAGATGATTAAGTTAAAATGAGGCCATAGATAGGACCTCATTCAATCTGACTGATATCCTTACGAAAAGAGGAAGTTTAGACATGCAAAGAGACACTAGGGATGTGTGTGCATAGGATAGGCCACTTAAGAATAAAGTTTGAAGGTGGCCATCTGCAAGCCAAGGCGAGAGACCTTAGAAGATACCAGCCCAGCCAACATTTTTATTTTGGATTTCCAGCTGCCAGAATTGTGAACAGATAAATTTCTAGTGTAAGCCACTCAGTCTGTGGTATTTTGTTATGGCAACCCTAGAAAACTAATATACCATTTGACAAAGGATACAACCACGTAACTGAACAAGGTGCTATACTGGGGGCAGAGGAAATTACAGACATATCAACAAATCATGGGATGTCTACTAAAAGCTTTCCTTTACAAAATGTCATCTGCAGCCATCTAACAATCATTTAGAGTGAAGACTGGGCTGTCTATTGAGGTTACTTACACTTTGTAATCAAGTCATGTCATTCTCATGTAGAAAAATGCTTATTTTAGATTTTCTGTAATGGGAAGGTATTAATCTATTTCATGCAAGTAAGAGCTGATCATTTGTTATTTTTGCTTTTGTTTTTTGAGACAGAGTTTCTCTCTGTCATCCAGGCTGGAGTGCATTGGCATGATCTTGGCTCACTGCAACCTCTGCCTTCTGGGTTCAAGTGATTCCCGGGTATTTTTTTTTTTTTTTGTATTTTTAGTAGACATGAGCTTTCACCATGTTGACAAGGCTGGTCTCGAACTCCTGATCTCAAGTGATCCACCCCCCTCTGCCTCCCAAAATGTTGGGAATACAGGCCTAAGCCATGCACACGGCCAAGACTAATGATTTTCAATCTAACAGGGTATAAAACATGCATGATATGATTTCAGATTCCACATCACAACAAACCTTTAAGGTGCTACCACTGACTTCACAGAAAAATATCCATAATTATCTGAAGAGTATTAAAACACTCTCTTTTCAGCTGTATATCTATATGGAAGCGGATGTTCTTCACAATCTTAAACCAAAATAACATAACAGATGGAACAGAGAAACATATGATGTTCTAGCTGTCTTGAAGAGATCTGCAAAAATATTAAACAATGCCATTCACAAGTATTTTTTGGAAAATAGTTATTTTTCATAATGAGGTGTCATTTATGTAAACATGTAATGGATTTATTTTATTTTTAATAAATACACAAATATGTTGAAAATGCCTCCAGTTTGGTTTCCAGCACATATTAATATATCTGTAACCCATGTAAACAAAAGCTCTTTGGGGTACTCGATTTTAAAGAATATGCTGGGAACCTGAGACCACCATGTTTGAAAACCGCTGTCACCAGGACATCACACTCGTCCACCGTGTCGATGTGGGATGTTCATGAGACAGGACAGGCAAGAAAAGAAGTCTCAAGTTTACTAGAGACCTCTGTAAAATACGTATGCTCCGAACTGTGAGAAATAATTTTGTCTTTGAAGAAACAGACGCCCACTGCATCATGGAAGATGTCAGGGCTTCAGTGCCCTGGAGCGCGACAGGGTATTTATTCCTTTCATTATAAAAATATACATGTTGCACCTGGTACCTCCCCCTGCTGGAAAGGAAACCTCAGGCTTGGTCAGCCCTTTGAATGCCAGAGGCAGCTGCTCTGACTCACATCCTGCTGACGTGGAAAGGCTGCCAGATTTGGTTGGGGCTAAGAGCAGGAAACAGCTCTAGGAGAAGTCCTAGCTGCAGTGAAAGCAGCCTACTGCTGGGGCTTTACAACTTGCAAAGCTTACGTCACTTGGAGTACCTGTAATGGGAGAAACGCCATGACGATTTGATGACCAACACCAGTAAAAGAGTCACAATATAGACCCTGAGGGTTCCGGAGCAAAGTCACCTCATCTATAACAGGAAACATTACACTGTTGGGAAAGCGGTTTGTGTGAGCTGGGGCTCCGGCAAAAATAGAGCATCTGAGCATGAGGCATTAAGTGACGCTGGAGCAAACTACAACCACCGTAATGTGGAATTGTGCAGACCCACACACAAGACTGGGTGGGCTCAGCAGCAAAACAGCATAAAATGAAGTGGTACAGAGCAGAGCTGCACGGAGAGCACAAGCCAGTTCCACAAGAGGTGGCCCAGACCACCCTGCCATCTGTCCTCACTGTGCAAGCACCTACCCTTCAGCTCAAAGCCCTGGCTGCAGGGTCAGCTAATGGGATACCAGCAGGCCCAAGGGGGATTCAAAGATGGTCAGCCTGCTGTGTGGGTACAAGTCAGAAAGAAGACTGCTGCTGTCTCATGGCTCTACTCTGAGTGGCCTCGGAGACAGCAGTCAGGGGACATCCTTCCAAGGGGCAGAGCGCCAGGTACCGCACCTGATCTTCCGTTTTGTGTGAAAAAAGTTGTGGCCTGAAGCAAGACTGGATACAGACCCATGAGCAGTGGCTATAGGTCCGGAAGGTAAATGACGGGAAGGAAGCAGGTCTGTGAAAGAGGCATGTAGATGAACCAGCGGAAATAGGGACAAAGTGTGGATGTCTTTATCGCTTTTCACATTCTCCAGAGAGCGTCCACTGCAGATTAGAACACTGGCAGCAGGATGGCTCAGCCCACCGATGACAGCCTGTCACTTGTCCACCCCAGTTCAGCACAATAGTTGAGTGGAGTAACCATGGCAACAGAGAGGGAAGCCGTGCATGGCTGAAGCAGTGTGGTGTCTCTCAGCAAGCCTGGTCTAGTTACTGCTGCCTAACATCCAACCTGCCAGTCATAGAGACCAATGCTGAACCCCCAAATTGGCACATCCCCTAAGGAGAACATCAGCCACCTCGAAGGGTAGCTATTCATCAGCAGGGATGGATCTGCTTTTCCTGCCTGCAGGGTCTCAGGCAGATCACTCTCCAAGGACCTCTGTAAGCTTCCATCTTCGGATACAGGATTGCATTTAGCATCCTTGGAACCAACGGCCCCACTTTACAGCAATGAGCACGTGGCCTCAGGTCCCACACGGACCACCTGTTGCAAGTTGAGCTGCACTTCTCCCGACTGAGAAAAACGAAGTGTCGAAGTCCTCACCCCTGGTAATGTGACCTCCTTTGGAAATAGAGTCTTGGCTAAATTTAAAATTGTTCTGGATTAAT